TAACAAGAATTTATAATTGGTGACCATACCTTGCATGGAAGTCAACGATAACCGGGCGTTCATTACTCGTCTGCAGAACCGTTTCCTCGAAATCTGATTCCGTCACGTCGAACGCAATAGACTGGGTAGGGGTGCACAGGCCACGCTTGGCCATATGAAATGTGGGACTGATACCTGTCCGGGCAATTGGGATACGCAATATGGCAGCACGAAGCATGTTGTGTATGTATGTATGTTAACTTGTATAAAACAACGGATGTCTGATGGACGTTCCTGTTTGCCTTTGCTTATATATATTTTAATATCACTCCCAGGGGCAAGAGTACGTATGTGTATTTTCCCCCAAAAAAAAATTTGTATCATATACTCTTCGTGCGAGTCATGATCTTTCCCACTGTAAATTTGTATACACGTATTTTAATATTTACAGTCATGACCAGACTCACCACTTCGGCACTTCCTCAGTGTAAACTTCTGGCTGTTCACCACTGTTTTGTTTTTTTTTACAAATACGAAAACAAATATACGCTTAGGGCCTTTTTGTTTCTTTTTAAAAACAAAAAATGACAACACATGCATATGTAAAATATGTGCATAGGTTCACGGCCCTCTGGATAGGGTCTCGAGCGGAAATCGCGGTTTCTCTCTACAACAATCGAAAATTTAGCAGAGACCCAAATCCAGAGAGCCGTGATAGGTTCAACGTTTCTATTTTTAAATATCGACAATCTTTAGGAAGTTCATAAACATATAGGACGTCCGTTTATAGTTCTCATAATAGATTGACTTTTCCAGTCTTTTCTCCCGTATACATGGTTCGGATAATATTTGAACCCCAACTCCCCAAGTGACCTGAAAATGTAGCTCTGACGCCTGACGGCCTGACTCCTAATTCAAATGTCGGGTCGCTATTAGGCCCAGGCCCCAGGCCCCAGGCCCCCAGCCCCCAGGGCCCTGCTGCTGTCTGACTGTCTCTCTATATAGTTTTATAGAGCACATACATAGCCCCCTCTAAAATGATATTTTATTTAAATATTTTAACCCCAGCCCCAGCGGTCCCAGCGACCCAGTCACCCAGCCCGGACGAGCCCGCCCGCCCCCGTCTAGTTACAAAAACCCCGTGCAACCATTCCCGAAAATAAACTTTTTCACCATTTTTTTTGTAAAAGCAATAGGGAATGATGAGGCGATGAATGACCGAATGGGTCAATGGGCCCGTGAGGCTGTGAGTGCGAGGTTGTAACTGTGAGGCTGTGAGTGCGAGGCTGTAAGTGATGACCCGATCGGCTGATCGGCTGATCGAGCTGATGTGTGAGGGAGTGATAGGTCTATGTCAAAGTGACATTTTTTTGGACAATGTGTATATTATATAAAATATTCGGAGGTTACTATTACATGAATATTTACGAAGTTACATACCTTGAATTTCTCTATACATCCCAGCCTCACTATCCGCGTACGTTACAACGGCAGTCGTATACCACTCAGTACTCACGATAACACTGTGGTCATCATGTCGACCAAACCACTCGATAATGAGGCCCCTACAATGCACCAGAAGACTGGTGAGCGTGCACTGTCGCACGCTGACTACGACGACGAGGTCGAGGATGTGATTGACGAGCGAGAGATTTTCGGTATGTGTATTTTAGTTATAAGCGTGGTGTATTCCTTGTGATTTGATATATGTGCTAGATATCTAAAACGTGTATATTGAAAGCTTATATATCCATCCTGATTTAGTTTAATGTTGGACAAAGTGCTTAGTTTATATGTCGCCGTGTTAGACAGACATAAATGTTGAAAACTGATGTTTGAAGTTGTGGTTTGCCCACCGAATTATGCATCTAGTTGTTCAGTATCACACATATAAAAGTTTTTTTTATCAAGGATTACGGAATTAAACCAGGAAGTAGTCGTGTTAGAACTATTTGAACGAGAGAGAAAATGTTTGCAAGTCTATAGATTATATGTAAAGCTCAGCTGTATAAATATCAAGTGTATCGTTTAAGCAAGCTTACACGTGTCTGTGTCTAGTTTGACTGTCCAATGTACTGATGACTGCAAGCTTGGTCACCTGTTGTAAGTGAAATCAGCGCCTATTTAAAGTAGAGTGCCCTTGTGTAGATAATCTCACAGTGGTTGTGGCGAAACTTCTAGTCAACACTACTGTTATCCGGAAATTTTTGCAAGCCATTGCATAGTTAAAATTCTCGGCATCTATTACTGTGCTCTCCAGTTATAGAACATTGAATTTCCCTGCGCAAGCATTGGTTTCTGTATTCTCGTGGAAATCCCACGTCACACACGTTTGTATTGGCTCTGTGAGCTTGAATTGGACTACGATGCCAAAAACCGCGTTTAGAGAATTGATCTCTATATCGTACTTTACAGTTGTCTCTGTGTAGAGGCTATAGATGCTGCTGCTTGTGTCTATGGCTGACTGTGTTCCAGGGCTACTCGAATCGATTAGATGTGACATTTTCAACCACAATTCCCGTGAGTATATATATGGAACATATCTATCTCGCGCTAGTAGCAATAACTTTTCGTATACTGATAATTAATATGTCACTGCCGCCACAGACATCATCCGGATGATCACTGACCCAGAACATCCAAATTCGCTGGAAGAGCTGGGTGTAACAAATCTGGAGCACATCGAGGTGTGTTTAACACAGTACGCACGCAGCGAGTTCAATTGATATATGTATCCCAGTATAGCCTGTGTATTTATAGTTAGTAGGACCTGCATCTCGCCTGTGCTTTTGTTCTAATTATTCCTCCTCGATTGGTTTGCTTCATTTCTGTCCCTACTTGGTCGCATGTCTATCTAATGCATATCAAGTTTCGTAATTTGTATACCCTCTAATATTTTACCACTGTTTATTGGTTCGAAAAACATTTAATTTTAAATGCCAAACCGCGCACTATTTTTGTTTGCTTGTCCTTGGGGTATGTGTATTTTTGTTCGTATCCCTCATTCGTGGGAGTTAACCTCTTAAATCTCATGGTCAACGTTTTCGTTGAACAGATTGACCTCGCTAGTAAGTGTGTGGCGGTGGAGTTTACTCCCACCATCCCTCACTGTTCCATGGCGAGTCTGATAGCACTGAGCATCCGTACGCGCTTAATCAGATCCTTGCCGATTGGGTATAAGATCGATGTCCGGGTGAGAGCAGGAACACATGCCTCGGAGAGATCAGGTATTTTTTCCCAATTAGTGCTCAAATGTTTCTCCGTGTGCAAAGGGCAGCTGCAATTTTGACATTGAATTTTGGACTGTATGAGGGGTACGGCGTTGAGTTCGAGAAACGGTTAATGACTGTTGTATCTACACGCTGCAAATAATTTGGAAGCCGAAGCTATGGGTGTTTCAAGTGCAAATACAAAATAGCGTGATTTGGTGTAGCGTTGAGAACATGGTGTTTATGTATGTCTGCTCGTCTTTTACTTGTGAGTCGTGTGTTGTGCGTCTTTCTCATGTTTCTTTTATTTCTTCTCACTAGTGAACAAACAGGTGAATGACAAAGAGAGAGTAGCGGCCGCTCTAGAGAACAGCCATCTCATGGATGTTGTGAATCAGTGCTTGACCACCATTTGAGACCGCATCTGGAAAACACGATACTCGAAACCGAACCGTTCCATCGGAGGGCTCTTGTGTCTGGATAAAATCTCCAGTCATGTGTTTTTAATGGGACAGTATGCGCGTGCACCTCGCCGTGCAATATTCCCACCGATATGCAGTCCAATTACCGTCTTCCATTGACCATGATGAACTTTATCCATCCAATGTTGTTCTGACGCAACTATTGGGATCGTTGAAGTGGTTTTTACGAGTTTTGCCGTTGAATTGTCAGTGTTTCTACACTTGAGCTCGCTCACGGCTCTACAGTATCTCTTTCTAACCATGGTACGGCGGACCTTAAAGCGTCGGTTGATCAGACTGCTTCCATTGTGCTCGATAAATCGGTTGCACTTTCAGCAAGCTTCCTCGGGTATTCAGCGTTCTTCCATGAAATCAAAAAGGGGTACCGATAAAAACAGTGAGGCCGATGCAGCCTTGAGCTCTGCTCACAGTCCTGTACCTGCACTGCTCAGCGCTCATCGTGATACTTTAAACATAACTATGTTACCAGCGTGCTTTTAGAGTATGAGATAAGTAATAAAACTTTAATGCGTGTGACTCCAGGGACTATGCAATGCCATATTAGCTTACATGTAGGTGCTTTTTCGATTGATCTATATTCGTACTAGAGTAATACATATTTACAGTGCCCGGGCGAAGTACGATAGAATTTGTAGAATGAAGCAGTGTATGACAATTAAATCATGGGGCCCTCATTCATATGTACAGAGGTACTATTAGGCGGCGGTCAGGCACATTGATATTATTGACATGTTCATGTAATTGAGTGATATCCTATTTTTGTTTACTTTCGCTCTAGTCAAAAGGTTTCAGATCGACCACCGAAGTTGATACTACCGTCTGCTTGTATGATAGTCGGCTATCTAAAATATGCCAGTGTGATCGTGCATCCGCATATAAAAAGTATCTGTTAAATTTAAAAATTCCGGCAAGAATTGGAATCTACTGTACAGTATTACATTAGAATATTGTGATAATGAGAATTTCGATTGTCATTTTACGCCAGATTGCAGCTCTGTTATGCATTAGCAGACCTTGACATAAACAGACTTACAACTGGCCTAGCGCTTCAATTATACTTCATGAACTGGTATCTGCTAGATACACTCAGACAACTTTGCAAACCACAGTGACTCACTAAAGAGCTCTGTGACCATGGTGCAAACATGAGCTGGCGTTGATATTTGCCCCTATTTTATTTATTTGCTTGGATACTTTCGATTTTTCCGTATCATGGTATCAACATTTCCATGGAATCTAGCAGCTGAAGTTGTACAATTCAGACACTAAATATGCGTGGGTCTGGAGATAATATTCTTACAGCCAGAAAATTCTAATTACTCGGTCATTTGCGTGATTAGCGTTTTTAGAAAGATGTATCTTTCGCGTATTGTCGTCTTTTGTGTCTGTCCCAACTGTTTTGGAGCTCATATTTAACTTTTGATCTCTCCACACTTCCACATTATACAGTACGTCTGGGTGCATCTATATTACGGTAATATGACCAGTAACGACAGTGCTGCTATTGGTAGGCCCATTTTCCGGTTGTGATGAACAGTCGAGTAATATGATTCAGACTCGCGTTTCTGTCATCATTTTCATTTTGACAATTCCTGCCGACAGCAGCACAGTATTCCATACACAGTATTCCATGCCCCATTTAAAGGATACCCTATGTAGATTAATATGATAAAACCGCAAGGCCTGTTGGTTTTCGACCAGCTACATTTAAAAGTGTGAAGTATCCAAAAAAAAAAACTTCAGCACTTGCTAGTTATTGAGATACTCGTTCAATCCAAACCGCCTCCAAATCTACCTTTCCTGAAATGTGTTGCATTGAATTGGTACGATGGTAGGGCTCCTGTGCGTATCACAGCGTCAGGTGCCGATCTCTCTCCTCCCTTGCAGATTATACAATACAGACGGGTATTTTATCACGGTAGCATTGTAAATGTCGGCTACTCTGCTCTCGGTAGGTTCATTGCTTTCAACATGCAGAACGATTCTCTTTATCACAGAACTGTTCTCGGGCTATACGGTTTTTATGCCATACTGAGACGATTGTCCATTACCGAGCATTCTTGTATACCGAAAAGCTAAGATACTTGCTAGTATACTTTATTATTGGCCTATTTACTAGACACTGTAAAGAGGAACACAACTCAAGAAAGGCTGAGCAATTGCTACTAATAACATAGAAAAAGTTTTTTTAAGGGGCATCAGAAGAAATAAAATATTGCGCTTGGAACTTAATGTAGAAGTTGATCCAACCGCTCATTCCAGTCATGAAGGCCGCCAAATGAAATTGAGAAGAGCGGGAGGCATTCACCGCTAATAGGGTCCTATGCGAAATAGCGGGGGCAACTATGTAGCTAACCCAAAGGATTTGCCTGATTACACGAGTATGAACCAGAATTCTAGTATCAGATTTATGCCAATCTGCCAAACCGGTACAACTCGGAGCAAAAGCAATCAACAGCCAGCATCCCGAACATTGCAGTGAAATAAGTTCAGGACCTCCATCCCGCGCAACCGGGAATAACACATCGCATAAAACCAATCAAGGCCAGACTTTAATGCGAAAAGGGGGAAATGAAAGATCTTGTCCCAACTATCAGTTGTATTGGGACTCTAGCTATAGATGTATTTATGTACATATACATATACATATATATAT